AGCCTATTGCATTTTTCGTGGATGGCGTGAAGGCAACCACAACCGAAGAGGAACTGGAGACCTACTTTGCAAGCTTCGGGGAAGTGCTGGAGTTGGCTCTCATTATGAATCCCAAGACAAATAGGCACAATGGACGTGGCTACATTATACTTTCGCCGACAGTGAATCAGAACAAAATCTTTGGCACTAAGCACATTGTACGTGGAGTTCGAATTGATGTGTACGAGTGTGGTTCATCTGACGAAGAAGAAGAGAAAAAGAAGGAAGAAGAAGAAGAGCATATCTCAGTGAGGTGAGCTGCCCAAAGATTACTTATCCTATTCTTACAATGTCGTGTTTGCCGTCGCATTCAGCATCAAGGTTTTGCCGGGAGGTTCGTTTACCAGTCATGTTACGGAACATGCTCGCGTTGTGGTGTCTTGGAGCTCAATCTAAAGCTATCGCGGATATTCGCATAGGGATTCATTAGAGACACAGAAGAAATATTTACAGGAGACTAGAACGGCTTACTTATTGCCTCGGTTACCCCTTGGGCATTTTCCTCTTGAAACTGAATCCGGTATCTCAAATATTTTTAGTCTGCTGATTTTTGATCGTCGTTTTCTCCATATTTGCCGCTGTAAAAGAGGCTCCGTTCCCAAGTTATTATAGGAATTAGTCGGTGAACTAGCCGACCGAATCTGGCATTCGTCTTCAGTTGGGTGCTCTAATGGCAAATGTATCATTCTGCTAGCGATGACGAATCGATTTTTCGATATAGATATAAAGTTGGATGACGTTTCTGTCCATCGGGCGCAGTGCTTTACGTACAGCAAGTCGTCCTGTGGTACGTTGGAACTCGCTATCAAGCCCAAGAATATTGGACTTTTATCTAAAAAGATCGCGCGTTCGAACGTCGGGAATCGCCACCCCTGGGGTTACGTATGGCCGGCTGATGAAGGCTAATACGCCAGAAATGGCCATTCCAGTTTTAAGTGTTTTTTTCCGATCTTGGTTTACAGTAGTTACGATTGGGAGATTTTTATGGGTCTCTTCGTGTCTCTGAAAATTTTGAACAGA